AAAAAAAAAAAAACTCAAAAGCTAGCAGAAGACAAGAAATAACTAAGATCAGAGCAGAACTGAAGGAGATAGACACAAAAAGCCCTTTAAAAATATCAGTAAATCCAGGAGCTGATTTTTGGAAAGATCAACAAAATAGACCACTAGCCAGATTAATAAAAAAGAAAGAAGAATCAAATAGATGCAATAAAAAACAATAAAGGGGATATCACCACAGATTCCACAGAAATACAAACTACCATCAGAGATTACTACAAACAACTCTATGCACATAAACCAGTAAACCTGGAAGAAATTGATAAATTCTTGTACACTGGCATCCTCTCAAGCCTAAACCAGGAAGTTGAAACCCTGAATAGACCAATAACAAGGGCTGAAGTTGAGGTAGCAATTAATAGCCTATCAACCAATAAAAGCCCAGGTCCAGACAGGTTCACAGCCAAATTCTACCAGACATACTAAGGAGCTGGTACCACTCCTTCTGAAACTATTCCAAACAATCCAGAAAGAGGAAATCCTTCCCAAATCATTTTATGAGACCAGCATCATCCTGATACCAAAACCTGGCAGAGACTCAACAAGAAAAGAAAACTTTAGGCCAATATACATGATGAACATAGATGCAAAAATCTTCAAAAAAATACTGGCAAACTGATTGCAACAGCACATCAAAAAGCTTATCCATCACGATCAAGTAGGCTTCAGCCTGCAGATGCAAGGCTGGTTCAACATACACAAGTCTATAAATGTAATTCACAACATAAACAGAATGAAACACAAAAAGCAAATGATTATCTCAATAGATTCAGAGAAAATTTGACAAAATTCAACAGCCCTTTATGCTAAAAACTCTCAATAACTAGGTATTGATGGAATGTATCTCAAAATAATAAAAGCTATTTACAACAAACCCACAGCCAATATCATACTGAATGGGCAAAAACTGGAAGCATTCCCTTTGAAATCTGGCACTAGACAAGGATGCCCTCTCTCACCACTCCTATTCAATACAGTATTGGATGTTCTAGCCAGAGCAACCAGGCAAGAAAAAGAAATAAAGGGTATTCAATTAGGAAAGGAGGAAGTCAAATAGTCCCTATTTGCAGACGACATGATGGTATGTTTAGAAGACCCATTGTCTCAGCCCAAAATCTCCTGAAACTGATAAGCAACTTCAGCAAAGTCTCAGGATACAAAATCAATGTGCAGAAATCACAGGCATTCCTATACAGCAATACAAACTTAAAGAGAGCCAAATCAAGAACGAGCTGCCATTCACAGTTGCTACAAAGAGAATAAAATACCTAGGAATACAAATAACAAAGAACGTAAAGGACCTCTTCAAGGAGAACTACAAACCACTGCTCAATGAAATAAGAGAGGATAGAAACAGATGGAGAAACATTCCAAGCTCATGGTTAGGAAGAATCAGTATCGTGAAAATGGCCATACTGCCCAAAGTAATTTATAGATTCAACACTATCCCCATCAAGCTACCAATGACCTTCTTCACAGAACTGGAAAAAAACACCTTAAACTTCATATGGAACCAACAGAGAGCCCGCATAGCCAAGTCAATTCTAAGCAAAAAGAACAAAGCTGGAGGCATCACACTACCTGACTTCAAACTATACTACAAGGCTACAGTAATCACAACACCATGGTACCGGTACCAAAACAGAGATATAGACCAATGGAAAAGAACAGAGGCCTCGGAGGCAACACCACACATCTACAACCATTTGATCTTTGACACACCTCACAAAAACAAGCAATGGGAAAAGGAGTCCCTGTTTAATAAATGGTGTTGGGAAAACTGGCTAGCCATGTGCAGAAAGCAGAAACTGGGCCCCTTCCTGACACCTTACACTTAACTCCAGATGGATTAAGACTTAAATATAAGATCTAACACCATAAAAAACCTAGAAGAAAACCTAGGCAAAACCATCCAGGACATAGGCATAGGCAAGGACTTCATGACTAAAACACCAAAAGTATTGGCAGCAAAAGCCAAAATAGACAAATGGGACCTAATTAAACTCCACAGCTTCTGCACAGCAAAAGAAACCATCATTAGAGTGACTCGGCAACCAACAGAATGGGAAAAAATTTTTGCAATCTACCCATCTGACAAAGGGCTAGTATCCAGAATCTACAAAGAACGAAAACAGATACACAAGAAAAAAACAAGCCCATACAAAAGTGGGCAAAGGATATGAACAGACACTTTACAAAAGAAGACATATATGAGGCCAACAAACATATGAAAAAATGCTCACCATCACTGGTCATTAGAGAAATGCAAATCAAAACCACACTGAGATACCATCTCACGCCAGTTAGAATGGTGATCATTAAAAAATCTGGAGACAACAGATGCCAGAGAGGATGTGGAGAAATCAGAACACTTTTACACTGTTGGTAGGAGTGTAAATTAGTTCAACCATTGTGGAAGACAGTGTGGCAATTCTTCAAGGACCTAGAAATAGAAATTCCATTTGACCCAGCAATCCCATTACTGGGTATATATCCAAAGGATTATATAAATCATTCTATTATAAGGACACATGCACACAAATGTTCATTGCAGCACTGTTTACAATAGCAAGCACTTGGAACCAACCCAAATGCTCACCAATGATAGACTGGACAGGGAAAACGTGGCACATATACACCATGGAATACTACACAGCCATAAAAACCAATGAGTTTGTGTCCTTTGTAGGGACTTGGATGAACCTGGAAACCATCATTCTCAGCAAACTGACACAAGAACAGAAAATCAAACACCGCATGTTCTCACTCATAGGCAAGTGTTGAACAATGAGAACACATGGACACAGGGAGAGGAGCATCACACAGTGGGGTGTGTGGGGGGGAACTAATGGAGGCACAGTGTGGGGTGGGGAGTTGGGGAGGGATAACATGGGGAGAAATGCCAGATATAGGTGATGGGGAGGAAGGCAGCAAACCACACTGCCATGTATGTACCTATACAACAATCTTGCATGTTCTTCACATGTACCCCAAAACCTAAAATGCAATAAAATATATATTTAAAAAATTAATAATTGAATAGAGATAGTGCTGGTGCATTTTCTGGGATGTATTCCTTAAGCTCTTAATACATGGTGATATGATAATATCACATTAGTGAAATATGGAGGCTACTGTATATAGAAACAGGGAAATCCTATAGAACCATTTGGTGGCACTGATAATGGTATTTCTATTACTGCAGTGAGTTATTTTTATAATGAAATCTTAGAGACGTTCATGTGTGTTAAGTATGCCAGAGGAAATATTGAAACGTGTTTTATATTCTTTCAGAAATTATTCTCAAATTTACCCATGTGTTACATTTTTATTGATAAAATTCATTAAAAGCAGGAAGCCATAGGGACTTTGCATACAGCTTCCTTCTCTCACTTGCATAGTGACTTACCCGTGATGGCCAGCTGAGTCACAAAGAAGAGCATTCTTGACTTCCTCTTTCTCCTCCATGTGGAAAAAAGCACAACAGAGTTTCCAACAATGGTAAAAACAAAGAGGACCCACAGCGTTATCAATTGCTCAGTCTGTAAGAAACAGAAAAAAATAAAACCAGTGTGCCTGTGAGAACCAGGGTTCTTTATAGAATGCGTGGAGGCCTTGGTGCTAGATTTCTTCCTCCTGATCCCATATCCCTACCTTTGGAAGCTCTTCTCTCAAGAAAACAATGACAAAATGGTCTTCATTTACACCAGCTGCAGGGTAAATTAATGCACCTTTTAAAAATCTTTTGGAAATGTAAGTCAAGAGATAAAAAGTTTGTATTCTTTGGTCAAGTAATTTTAACACTATGTGGAAAGTCAAAATGTAAAAAAGAATACCACTGTCACAAAGATGTCCATTATTACGTGCATCTAATTTCTTATTGTAAAAAGAAATCAGAAATTGTTTAAAGATAATAGGGTAGCTAAGTAAATCAAGCACTTCGATTCAGTGAACTGTTACAGCATAGCTATTAACAATGACAAACATGAAGACTATGTAGCAATATTAAAAATACCTGTAATATAATGGTAAGTGGGAAAACATAATAAAATCATATACTGGGTATGATTACAACTCTGTAAAATTATATACTTAGGAAAAAGGCTGAAGTAGAGTAAAATGTTAAAAGCGGTCATTTTAGGGTAGTGTAATTATGGGCTATCTTTTCTTTTTTTCATTTGACAGAATTTTATAAGGTGGTTATATTAAAGTTCTACTGAAGAATGTTTTTGTGGTTTGAATGTGTCCTCCAAGGTTCATGTGTTGAAATTTAATCCCCAAAGCAATGGATTTAATGTAGAACCTTTAAGAGGTGATTAGATCATGAAGGCTCTGCCCTCAGGAATGGATTAATCTTGTTATTGTGGGAGTGGGTTAGTTATTGCAGGAGTGTGTTCCTGATAAAGGAATGAGTTCAGTTCCCTTCCCTTGTCCCTCTCTCACCATCCCTCATCCACTTCCTTTCTGCCATGGAATGATGCAGCAAGAAAGCCCTCACCAGATACCAGCACCTTTCCAGCCCCTGGCACTGTAGAAATAAATTACTTTTCTTTATAAAGAAGAGTAATAAATATAGTATACAATAGCATATAGTATAAAGAGTACTATATTACTCAGTCTTTGGTATTCTGTCATAGCAGCATAAAACAGATTAAGACAAATGATGAATTAGTTTAAAAAATAAAAGCAGGAATGCTATTAATGTAACAGTCCTTCTAAAATTTTTTATGAACATCTTCATGAGTACTGCACTTTATCAATCTGATATTTAGGCTCTCTATCCTGGATTTACAGATCAGTGTCTAAGATCCCAGGTGGAGGTCAGGGCCTTGGAACTGCGGATCTGTGGAAATGAGGATAGGCATTGTAGTGATGTGGAGGGAGGATGATGGCTGCACAGCTAGAGTGCAAGGGTGATAGGATTGGAGAACTCTGCAGGTATATCATGTCCAGCATGCATATATCATTTCCCACTTGGAGGGCAGCATTTTTGCTCAGCTTTAAGCCACATACTTTTTCTCTGGTTCTTTGATGACTAGAAGTGTTGTATCTTTCTGGATAACTCATTTCTCTAGCAGTGTTGAAATGAGTGCTATAGCATCAGGAAAAAAAACTAATTATTATGCAAAGGACTATACTGAGTAGAGGGAGTGAATTTTTGTAAGAGAATTCTCCCCTTTGAGATGGATTGACAACAGTGTTGTCAGTAGCAGATACAGCAGGAGAGGGCTTTGATGTAGACTGACACTTCCTATTCATGTGGTGTGTCAGCAGTGGGACATAAACAAGTCATTTAATTTGGAAGACCTCTTCAAAAGCTATGAAACAACTTACAGAGTAACATAAGCAGCCAGGTGGCTTGGAAGTCTCCATCAGAAAGTCTCACTGACACCATGGTGCTGACAGATGAAACAATTCAGGGCCAGGGTGGGGGATCATGTGTCTATGTTCCTCATATTGTTCTAATACAGTGTTCTATCAGGGAGGATGATGGTGCCCTGGGGGTGTCTAGGTTCAGGAAAGAGCCCATCAAGCAGGTGGCCTGGCAGGTAAGGTATGACAGAAAGCCATCAAATACTTTTGGTCTCTGGAATAAGCTTCGGTGTGAATGACCCAAAGCCTGTGTCACAGCCCTCCTGTCCCATGATCTTCAGTAGTTCCCTTACTTCCCCATTCCTTGTTAACATTCTAAGTCTTCTAGGGAAGGGCCCCATTCTTACAGAAGCTTTTCCACCTGTGTAGCATGAGCTTGGCTCTGAGCAGCTGCACATGGGGAGGACTTTGGAAAGTGTTTCTCAAAGTATGGTCCATGGCTAGGGTAATTATGTAACCTGGTTTGCCTAGGGCATTCCTAGTTGTCAACTGTTGACCCAAGATAATTATTTAAATTGCCTTTCCTCTCAAAAAGTGTCTTTGGTTAGATAGTAAATTATATAATCACCCTATACATGGCTCCCAATGAGTGGGCTCCAAATACGACAGCCTAGTCTATATCAATCCCTAAAAATGTATCTCTCTCTCTCTCTCTCTCTCTCTCTCTCAGCTTTGATTTAGGGCATTTAGAGGTTTGGGTCAGTTCATGATGTGATGTGGGGTCCCTGGAGACTTTTCAAGAACTATGCTCATTGAATATGGCACTTCAACACTAGAGTTGAAGGAGTCCACAGCTCTAGTGGGTCACCAATATCCAGTTCCACAACCCCATGCTGGAGGCTTGGGATGGCCTCATCTTCCTGGGTAAGGCCACCATATATGTCTTTGGCACTGCTAAGAGGCCCAGGAAGTGTTTCAGCACACTGCCTGCCTGGAAAAGAGGTACTATCTCTTCTGCTGGTGCTGCTATTCATCCATGTAGGAGAAGAAACTGAATCCACAAGGCTCTGTATACCTCTGTTTACCTTGTAGTTGCGTGATGTTGCAACATGTTCATGGATGTGGGGTAAAGAGTGTCCTGAGGTCAAAGTGAACAGCAGTTGACTGGAGCTAAAACTGTCAAAGGTGCAAAGTTACCTCCTCTCCTCACCTTTGTGAGTTACCCACAATTACAGGAAAATTTAGCTGTGCATCAATTTGCTGTGGCCCCTGAGGGCTGGGACCATCCTCCAGGAATGAGAAACCAAGAAGGATGTTGGCATTTCCCATCCTGGTAAAGGGAAGATTGAGACCCAGCTATCCCTCAGGTTGGAACTTGGGCTGTGGAAGGCAGCAAGGCAGATCTTGAGCCTGTAGAATGAAAAGCTGAAAGGGTCCCAAGGGACTGTGCCAAGAAGTGGAAGAAATCAAGAGTTTAGGACTATGCAGATGGCCTATCTGACACAAAGACCTAAAGGAGCTGAGCAAAGAAATGGCACCTAGCCAGGAGGTGGGCTGGAAACTGGGGCTGTCACACAGGCCGAGAGCTCAAGGCAGCTTGTGGTTTTAGATGGGAGGGAGCTGGGAGGGGCATCTTGCAAAGTGTCTTTCTCAGGATAATAAATTACATCAGAATACATCCTAGAAAACAAAATTATAAGATACAGAAGAAACTAAAAATTACTCACTTACAATTTGGGGGTATGTAATTCCAAAACTAAATTTCTCAATACCTGTGTATCATTCTTCTTGCCCTGCTGCACAGAAATTGGGGCTTTTTGTCAGGGTTTTGTTTTGGAACTTGCTTTTTTCTTACACCACAACATATAGAATCAAGAGCTTCCTGGTATTTGACATATATCACTTTATTTATTAATCCTCTCAGCAGCTAAAGAAGTGTGTTTGTTTGTCTCAGGTTTACCTATGAGACAACTGAAGATCAAAAAAGTTGACCTGGGATCAAAGGAGGTCTATGTAAGCCCAGTTTTCTTGACTTTGTCATTTAGACTTCTGAGCAATTACAACACATAACTTCACCTGGTCACTTTAGTGGCTGCCTACTTCCCAGTATTTGAGTATACTGTAATTTACTCAACTGATGCTCTGTTTTTGGATGTTAAATTATAGCTGTTTTTTCCAATCATAAATAATACCGTGATAAACATCCATTATATATGCCTAATTCATGAGTTAAAATTTCTAGATATGAAAGATTAAAATAAATAAGTGGATTTTTAAGGTTTTGCATACATATTCATTTTTGTTAAGAAATGTTTGGAGAGGGGGGATCCAAGATGGCCAATTAGACACAACTCCAGCGCACAACACCCAGTGAGAGAGAAGCAAAAATCCCGAGATCTCCTAGCTCCAACCGAGATACCAGGTGCATTTCAACAGGTCTGGTCCCATGGTGAGCAAAGCCCTCTCAAGGTAGACTGAGGCAGGGAGGGATGCTGTTTCACCCCGAAAGTGCACCTGACCAGCGAGTAAGAGGGTCCCTGTCTGGTGCTCTGGTCCAGATACAGCACTTCCTCCAAAGCCTCAGCAATACACAGAACAGGGGATCTTTGACAGTTAAGCGCCAAGAATTACAAGCACAGAGTTGAATAAGAATCCAGGATGGTGTCCCGGATTTGTGCACAGACCTAAGCAGACACATAAGCCCAAAAGGCGGCCAGGAGAGCTTGCCGACTAAGCTTTCGCACCCTCTCCCTGCCCGGAGAGAGAGGAAGCTGTAAGCGGGAGCAGTTGGGTCGGCCCCTACCCTACCCGGAGAGAAAAGAAGCTGAAAGGGGGAGAAGGTGGGGTGCAGCTGGGCAGGTCCCTACCCTCCCCCACAAACCCCAGAGGGCTGAAGCTCTGACTCTACTGGCTTGCGCAGCCAGAGCCACAGTCTGAGCCGAATGCTGAATAATCCAGCCCAGTGGAGGAAGGGCACAACCCACTGTTAGAGAGGTGGGACTGGGCTACACGTTTTAACAAAAAACTCAGGAAGCCTACTTAGCAATGGGACAGCGTTCTTGACAGCCCAGCAGTACCTACAGGTAAGCAGAAGAGGTGGGCCTTATCTCCCAGTATAAACAAAAAAGAAAGAGGAAGCTTCCTTAGTAACCTGAAGGAGTCCCTAAGAAACCCAGTAGTGCCTTCATAGGCAGACAAGCGACCTCATCAAGCAGCTCCCTGACATCAC